ATAAGTAAATAAAGCAAAAAAAATAAAAGAAATTTCATATGACCCAGCTGTCCCCTTGCTAGGTATCTTGCCCCAAAAGGTTAGATAATCACACTATAGTGATGCCTGCATAGTTATAGCACACTTTGAAATAGCTAAATCCTGGAAGCAGCCTATGTATCCATCAACCAACTACTGGAAAAAGAAAATGTGACATCCATATATAATGGAATACTAGTTCACTATGATGAATGAGACATTTGTGGGAAAATAGATGCATCTGGAAGATATAATGCTGAGTGAACTAAACCAGACACACAGGCTTTAATGCCATATGCTGCTGTTCATTTGAATGAGGCAAGGTACCAACAAAGAAAATGATTAAGGATGGATAGAAAGGGATGAGTGGATGGATCCCTTGTAATAAGGAAGTGGTCCAAGGAAACACGAGCAAAGGGTAAAGAGGAGGAAAAGGAGAAATAAATGGAACAAAGGGGTACCATGTACAGCAACCTAATGACCTCAATTATTGTAAGCTATATGCCATAACATGAGCTAAGGCAAATCATCAACAAGAATGAAAAACATGATAGGGAAACTGGAGAAGGAAGAGGGTGGGAGAAAAGGGAAAGGGAATTAAGAAAGAAAAGAAGCTATAATATGTACATGTAACCACTCCCCAAGATGACTGTAAACTGCACAAATTGCAAACATGTACAATAAAATAAAGAATTATAAAAAGTAATCATAAGGAAAAAAGAAAAAAGTCTTCTAGTTAGGTTAAATAGAAAAGTTCCCAGGACTGGGGAAATGACTCAGTGGAATAAGCGCTTCCCCGGCAAGCGCAAGGGCCTGGGTTCAATCCCTGGTTTTGAAAGAAAAAACAAACAAACAAACAAACAAACAAACAAACAAAAAACAAAAAACAAAGAAAACTACATGGTAAGGGGGCCGGGGAGATGGCTCAGTAGAATAAGTGATTGACTGGCAAACTCAAGGGTCTGAGTTCAATCCCCAGTTCCACAAAAAAA